TCTCTTTCTCTGTGAGGAAGAAGAACAGAACCTCCTTAAATTGTGCACAACACAGTATCCGGTGTTTGGCTCCCGTTGACCTCGGCGGACCTCGTTGTTCTCACGAGAGCAGCGTTGGAGAAAAGCATCGCTCATCGTGTTCGTCTGAGCTGCAGATCTAACGAGGCCGCTCCGTCGGCGGAGACGCACAAACAAGCCCCGTGAGGACGTCTCCGCTCGACCCCGAGGTCGGGTCGAGCTGCGGCTCCCGCGGCGCAGGGTTCTGCTGCAGGAGCCACTAATCCCTCCAACCCCGAGGATGAGAGGCCTTTGAAATGAGACGGGCCGCTTAGCAAACGCTGTCAGAAAAAAGCCTCTCTGGTTTACAGTGGGAGGGTTAGCCGGGGGGGGGGCCGGGGGTCTTCTTTTGTTTCCATAAAGCTGAAAGATTCCCGCACTGAGACATCTGCTGCTGCTATCAGATCGGCTGTAATGAAGCAGGGAGATTAGCTGGCGACTGTCGGCTTGCTCCCATTAAGCCCCTCAGCAGGTCCACTTTTTGGCCTCGAGGACTTAAAATGTCACTTTTAGCATTCTATCTATAAACTATTTCCTATATAGAAAGACATCGAAGTGATTGGAGACAGATGTGTTCTGTACCGCTGTATCTCGCCGCGATGCAGGAGGGCCGCGTATCTTTGACCTTCACGAGTCAGAACGCAGGAAGTAGGACAAACGTTGCGGCGCCTTCGTTTCCAACTCGCTCTACAGCAAAGGGCGGAAGGCAGGAGTTGGCACTGGCAGAGGTCAGAGGTCGCCCTGAGGTAAACATGTGTGCGAACGCTGCAGACGCACGGTTCATTCCTGCGCCCGCCGTTACCCAGGCGCCGCTGCTTGGTGACTGAGGTCCGAGCCAAACGCGTCTTTCCCCACAGACTTGTTGTTTTGTTCCCTTTTGAGACGCCGGCGGACGCAGGAGGACGCTGTGGGACGCTGTGGGACGCGTCTCCGGTCAGACATGTTTGGGAGAGCAGCTGAATTGTTTTCGTTACAGAAGCGTTTGCAACGGCGTTCTCATTTCCGTTAGCTTCTCAAACCCGTGCCCTTCCAGAGGACAGCAGTGTAATTTTGGCCGTCCATCGCGTCGCACTCTATTCTGTTCCAGGGAATTATATCATTTGTTTTTCATAAATTGAGGGGGAGGCATTTTATCAAATGCACTCAGCCCAAAGTCAAAAGTATCATTTTAATTCAGTGAAGTGAGCGACACAAAATAAACACCAATGACTCAGAACAACACCCCTTATGTCGTCGTACCCTCATTTCCATCCACAACGTGGACAACAAAAGCCCCGGTTGCCCCGGCAACCCCAGCTTCATTGACTCCATCCGAGCTCCACCTCTCAGCCCGACTTTGGATGAGACAAGCGACTCGTGGGTGGAGTAACCGAGACGTCGTCCATGATTTCAGGCTCAACACAGAAACGTTGCCCCGGCATCTCCGGTTTGCAGAGTGTCCTCGTGTTCTATTCTTTACTTTTAAATGCAGTCCGACGGCCGGATCTCCTCCTGCTGCTCCTCGTTCCTTATTAATGCGCCACGAAAGGCCTTGTTTTAAATTGGTCTTCCTGCGCTGACACGCTGCCTCCGGTCGGCTCGCTCTCTGGGTTTCCTTCGCGGTGATCCGAGGCCGACGCTGGCCTGCATACCAGTGGAGAAGCACCACCACTGCTCCGGCGGGCAAGGAGGCGAAAGAGAGCGAGGCAGATTAAGACGTCTGAGAGGCGAAAGCGAGACTGACAGGCGGTCAGAGTCACACAGATAAAAAAATAATAATAAGTAAATGGAGCCTGAGACCGTCTGAGAAATATGCAAACAGAAAAATGATAAAGACACAGTGGGAGGAACGGAGATTCCGCTGCACCTGTGGAGGAGATTAAGGGTCCGTATCCAGCGTGATTAATGAGCTGGCCTCTGATTGGCTCCAATATTCGCCGCCCCGGCACTCTGAAAGAGGGCTGGAGTCCCTGCTCGTGTGTTGGTGGGCGATGAAGGTAATCGAGCAGTATGTATGCACAGCGGGACGTGCAGAGCTAACAGAGCGCTGACCGACTGGTTGAATTACTGCAGCGCGTCTGCGACCCGGGTGATGCACGTTGCGATAGCTGCAGCCCACCGGCACAGGAACAAACCGCCACCATTTGTGCACACCGGGGGGGGTCTCGTCTCCCTCAGTGCACCACACAAACAGAGACGACACCACCGCACGCAGTCGAGATGCGGCAACACAATTTCAAAGGGCGATTACTCGGCGCGAGTCGTGGAACGTGAGATACGGAGGTTTTGTTTTCATGTTTATGTAAAAAAAAAAAAAGATGTTTTCTTTCAACAATCCTGGAATCTCTGCGGTTCATCACGGCCTGCAGCTGTAAACAACGTCTCCATCGTCCTATTTTTATCTTTCCGACGTTCCTTGAAGACACCGTGTGTGGCGAAGAGAAACAGCTTAACAAAGCTGTGCATCTCCCCCCTGTGGGGCAATGAAGGAGCATCTCTGGAACCTTTCTGACTCTCAGACGAGTATCAACAGGCGTGAGATCACAACTTTGTATCTTGATTTGAAACTTTCCGTCTTCATCAGAAAAAAAGATTTACATTTCTATTCCTCCATTTGCAGCCCTGATTAATGTCTGAATCTTTGTTTAGCGAACCAGGGGGGCCGGCGTGAGGGTCTCTATGAATAATGGAATGTGCCGTGCGCGTGGACGCTTGTCTTAGGAGGACTTTTAATTATGTGCGTCTGACAGTTAAACACACATGACGCATCGACGACAGACACACGCTGAGCAGAGCAACGCCAGATGCAAGGGAGTTATTTTATTTTTAAACATATTGAGGGAGAAAAATAATACTTTAAAATGAAAAACAGAGCAGCTTATTCAGAATAAAAATATGAAATATAGTCTGTATATATATAGAAATATCTTTTCAGTAAATGTTGATTGAAACCAATTTGATTCCCAAAGAAATGAAATGTCTTTCTTTGGACAAAAATAAAATAACATCTTTGGGCTCCTCACTGAGAAGCTTTCATTTGTCACTTCAGGGCCTCCGTTGTCGTGTTGTAGAGTAAATGATTTGTTTCAGCCCGGCTAATGGAAATCATATTCTTACACCTCCAAGGTGTCACGAGGCAGAATCCCCGATGTCATTCTGCCGCTGCTGCTGTTTACCAGCTCTTATTTTTTGGGCAGCGGCGGCGGCGGATGGTGGAACTGTTGTCGCTCCCGCCGACTGTTTCCACTCGACAGGCGGCGCGCAAAGAAAATACCAAACCGCCGGCCGCTCGCCGGCAGCAGTTTATCCGGCGAGCCTGAAGCTGATGAAACGTCGCGGGGGGGCCGGACTGAAATCAGGGTTATTTTCTATCTGAAAAAAAACGTGGCCACCAAACCAGAGGAGGCGTTTACATCTGGCATGTTGACTCTCTACATGTTTCCATCCGGACAGATGTGGCTGGTTTATGACAGAGCACAATCACACGGGTCGCGATCACATATTAGCCTCATATTTCAGCTTTCCAGGTTTGTTAACTTGAACTAAGTTTCTGTTTCCAACTTATTTCCCCCTTTTTTTAAATGATTTGACATGGAGTCAAAGACTCACGTCCCAGCTTCACTTCGGCACTATTTGCTGTTTATTCCTGTTCGAACAGGAATAAACAGTTGGCTGCTGCAGAGAGACAGCGAGCCACCCGTCTTACCTCCACGCACCGTGTTCATTTCACAGTGTGGCCCTGTTGAAATGCACGGCGCCACCTGGAACGGCCCCTCCAGGCGGCGTCAGATCAACGCGCTTCATCCCTCATCCGTCCGCACGGCACATCGAAGCCGCTTCTGCCACCCGAGTCGCCGCCCCGCTGATGCACAACTGTGTTGGAACGGGCAGCGCGTTGCACCCCGAGCCCTTCTGAAACATCCCCGCCGGACCGAGCTGTCACCCCGGATGCATCTATCCCCTGGAGAGACAGCGGATACCCGGGGGGGGGGGGGCGCCTGCCGTCTCCGGGCGGCGCACGCTTCAGTCAGTCGTGCTTCTCCGGGCCGCGTCGGGGCGGCAGCGCTGATGCCCGTTGGACCCTCGGCTCAGCGTGGTGATTCACCTCGGCGGTTCAGTCTGAAACACGATACGATCAGATGTGCGTGTCCTTCAGCTCTATTTAGTCACTATAGTTCTATTTTATTGATTTATTATTTTCAGTTCAACGATTATTGTCAGTAGTCGTTTTATATGATTGATCAGACATGAAAAAGAGTTGCACCTGTTCTCAGCGACTCGAACGCGTTGGTTTGTTTGCATTTCTCCATGTTTGCTACTGATGGTCACCGGTGGACCGCCGCCTCGCATCCATTCCCTCCATTCAGTGGACAATCCAATTGTCCACCGGGAGAGACAAACCGGTTCAGAGATGCGGTCAGAGGTCAGGAGCATATTTTCTCATGAATATTAGATTAGTATTATTTATGCAATGCAGCTTATGTTGCTAAACAACGTAATTTTTAATCTGACACAAAGCAGAATGTCCAGGGGGGGAGAAGGGGGGGGTCTCCAGACGGGCTGCGGCTGTAGATTCTGTGCCTGGCCGCACAGCTTGGCGACGGTCGCTGTTTATGGCGCCGGCGGGATCCATTGAAGAATAATTCTTAATTTGCCGTAAAGGTGAATTGAATCGGATGGCCATTTCAATGAACATAAATTTCCCCTTAATGAGAAGAATGATATTTGGCTAGCTGTGTGTCCTCTGACACGTGGCCTTTATTCCCTCCTGGGCGGCGGTTTGTCCTCGCTGGTCGTCTAATAAAGAGATGAACGCTTGCAGCCACGTCAGCACGCTGCTTGTGATTTGGGCTCGTCCTCCTTTCTCTGCCCCTCCTGTCTCCATCTTTTCGTCCCTCTTTCTGCCGTCTGTTGCCGGCCTCTCTCTCCAACGCCGTCTCGTCCCTCCGCTCTCACCCTGACAGAGGTCGTCCAACTGAGCCTGGCGGAGGACCAGTCGATCAGCGTCTCCACGGTGACGGTGGGCCTCAGCGCCGTCCTCACCTGCGCCATCCAGGGGACGCTGCGCCCGCCCATCATCTGGAAGAGGAACGGCATCGTGCTGAACTTCCTGGACCTGGAGGACATCAACGTGAGTGCAGAGGTGGAGGCGGGAGGAGGAGGCGATGGCACCCGAGGGCCCCCGAGGGCCCCCGAAGGCGCTGTTAGCCTTCGTCTGCCTGCATGAGTTTAACTTTAGAAATGTTTTAATGACAAATGCCGTTACACGTGTTAAGCATTTATTATATTAAGTTAATTTGACGCCCAATCGATAGCTCATGCATTATTTTTCTGTGTGTGTAGCTTAACAGGGAATCAGGCCTGTTTGTGATGGAAATGACCCTTAAACCCGAGAGCTGAGCCTCCAATACAATCAGTCCGGTTTGTCTCCTGTCTCCTGGTGTCTTCCTGCTCTCGTCTCGCTCTGATTAAGTGATTGAGGCTGGAACGAAAGTCCAACCTCCCTTTATTCAAAAGAACTACTTCTGCACAGATACTTTTATTTGCATGTTCAGCAAACACAAAGAGAATATTTAACGTGCACTCTTATGTTTATTGCATCAGCATAGTTCTGTGCCTACAGGAATAGTGAAAAGTTCAAGAGAGGCTTTGATTAAGTGCAGAATCTGAAATGCAAAACATCAATCAATCATCAATTCTTCCACTTCTCACTTCACCTGATGGGAACATTTAATAAAACTGAAATTAAAATAAAAGCCTATCATTTTGTCCTACGAGGTTTTTATTCTAAACCCTTTCACAGTTAAAACGATCAGACTAAAAATCTACAACTCTACATCCTGCACCAAATGCGAATCTTCCACGTTGACTCCAAGTAGCATTTTGCTTCTTCATCAGAATCATCAGGAATCAGGAACATTTATTGCCAAAATATGTTGACATGACGTAGAAGGACTTTGACCCGGCGGTTGTTGCACAACATTGGACAGTGAGACAATGAGACAAATCAATTATGAGATAAAATATGTTATTCGTGTCCTCCGGCCGTAAGTAAATGGTCGCGCTAACCTAATGATGCTAATCACAGCATGCTAACGGACCCGTGCGATCATATGTGATCAGCCAAAGAAATACGACCCGTCTCTAATATTGATTTCACCACCCATAGTTCCATAGTTGAGGTATTTGGTCAAAAACATTCTCTCCGTCTCCACCGCCTCTGCTTCTAGAACAGTTCAAAGGTCAGATGACTCACCGCACAGCTCGGTTACAAATGGGGGCTGATGGATGATAACCGGCGTCCAGGAGACGGCCCTAACGGACGCACCTTTTCTCCCAGTTCTGCATAACCTGCTGTTTTATTACTGAAGTCAAACTTTTTAGCCCAAATAGCCCAATTCACTGGTGATGGCGAATGCTGAACTTCACCCCCCCCCCCCCCTCGCTGGCTCACGCCACCTCCTGGAGCCCTCAGGACCAAAGCAGACGTTTGTGGTCTCCACGTTGGCTCATCTGCGAACTATTTAATGCCTTAATCCGCCCTAAACACCCCCCCCCCCCCCCTCCTCCCCCCTCCCCGGGTGACTGCCGACAACAAGCCGCTCCATTCATCAACCTAATGGGCTTTATATTTTTAACCCTTGCCATTTATCAGGCTGAGGCAGCGCGACGAGGGACGACGACCACATTCCCCAACGCCTGCTTCGGCTCGACGGGGAAACCTTTGATTCATGGTCCCTCTTCCCCTTCACATCCCTCTTTTTCATCTGCTGTCTTTTCCCATGACGCCCCGCTGTGCTGCGCCTCCTCTTCCTTCAGCATCCTACGAAGCCACCTTCATTTCTACCCCCCTCCTCCCCCCGCGCGCCATCTTCCTTACTTTCTTTACTTAATTTTCCTCTTCCATCCCTTTGCCGTACCGCAGGACTTTGGGGACGACGGCTCCCTCTACATCACCAAGGTGACAACCATCCACATGGGGAACTACAGTTGCCATGCCTACGGCTACGAATACCTCCATCAGACACATGTGCTGCAGGTGAATGGTCAGTAGCTCGTTTCTTACTTGCTGTGGTGGATGAAATGCTGTAGTTTTATCTGTGATGCTCTGTGGTTCCCCAGTGACGAGATGTTCTTATTGCTTCCCTGCTTACTCTCAAAGGCCATCGAGCCGACGTTCTGCTGCTTGAAATGTCCAGAAACAAAGCACGCTATGGATTCATTGCGCGCAACGTTGACGTCTGCGGTTCCCAGCCTTTTTTAATCAGACCTACTTTCAGAAGCACTCCGACTGTGTCCCGCAAATTCAAACAGTGTTGTCACATGGGACACAATACAGATGTTTGCCGTGTGTCTTCGCTCAGTAGATCCGGCCTGTTGTGTCTCCACTGTAGACGGCGTACATGGCGTTTGACGTGTCAGACAGAGACGGATACTAAAGGTCATGCCCACATAATTGTGTAACTCCTGTTTCTCTATTTAGTTTCTTTTCTACCTTTTGCTTATTAGCATTGTCGAATTAGCTGAGCTACTGCACAACCGTTCCGCCTCCAGCGGACTGCAGAGGAACCGGTTCCATCGAACACCGAGAGAACGCAGAGTTTGTTAAGTGATCCGTCGGGGAAGAGAACAAAGTGGCTGCAGCATTGACTCCAAAAGATCAAAGAGATATCAAGACCGTCGGCATCATGCTGACGGTCACCAAGCATCCAATCCATTAATCGCCTCCTTGCTTGTTTCATCACTATACATTTTATCTTTATTAAAAAGATGTTCTGCTGTAATGAAGCTTTGCTTTTCGATAATTTGATACAATTAGTTTCCCTCCCGATAGAACGTATATATGCAGCGCTGTAATTTATATAGATAAATATCTAGGCATTTCATTATAGTGAATCTTTTGCCATCTTTTGAGGCTGAAAGCCCGATTGAGTTACTGCAGAACGTTGGCTCGATTTTATGCAGTGGAGCGAAGCTGCTTCAGCTAAACTACATGTGAAAACTCCTCTCCCACTGACTCGGGCAGCCTGAACTTATCAAAGCACCGCCTCGCTCGTATTAATCATCTGGATAACAGCCTTCTTCTTATTGCTCTGCATCTCGCAGTAAAATCTAGCGAGGCAGAATGTTAAAAACCTTCCTACCTCGAACATAACAAATCAAAGAAACAGCCTCCCAAATATCGGGAAAATGTATTAAAATACTAAAATCTCTCCAAGGACACAAAATGTGTGCGATTTGAGTTTGGTTTGTTTTTTCTGAGACGCCCACTGAACATAAAGAAGGCGGAGCCAAAGGGTGAGAGTGACGGGACGGTAGTCATGGAGACGGCCCCCGGGGGCCTCGGGAGACGGCGATGACTGATCGTTCTTGTCGGGGATTCAAGGTGTCCTGGCACGAGAGAGGACAGGGGGGGGGGGGGGACGGGGGGGCACGTTAAACTTCTCATTGAGTCATGTAGAGTTGCACTATTCTGTTAATTAATGGAAAACATCTGATTTGTTTTCTTTTGGACGTCGCTAAACTTTGCTTTTGGCTGAAATATTTAATGATTTGAAGCTTTTGAGCGTTAAAATATGAAACTTTCTGAAAAACGTACCGTGGCGATATTCTTAACCCTACTGATTAAGAATATCGATTTACTTAGAAACAAAACAACAGACGACATTAATGCAACATTATTATTGCATTGCAGCGATTTGATGTTTAAAGGTGCCTTCAAAGCCGAAAACGACATACCGGTTCCTGTAAAGTATTACCTCATATTCATTTCGCACCTCCGTTCCTCTGCCTTCATTTGTGGTCTCCTCCCTGGGGGAGGTGTTGTGTGGCAGACACGTCCAGCATCTATTTCATGCAGGACTCGAGCTGTGATGAAGATTCCTGTTATGTGAGAATATATTCCTCCCTGGAACGGGTGTTTGTGCCTCTCCCCCTGGAACGGTGTGTAATTGGGTTCTCACTGGCCTCCTCCCCGGCTGTTTGTGTGTGTGTGCGTCCAGTCCCCCCGGTGATCCTGGTCTACCCGGAGACGCAGGCCCAGGAGCCCGGCGTGTCCGCCAGTCTGCACTGCCACGCCGACGGCATCCCCAACCCCAAACTGGTGTGGCTGAAGAACGGCATGGACCTGCTGCCCAGATCCTCCAAGCAGCTCTCGCTCATCGGTAAGGGAGTGGGGGGGGGGGTGGGGGGGGGGCTGCATGTCACGTCTTGTTGCCGCAGCGTTTCGGGATTACGCCGCGACGACGGCGCAGTACGCCGGAAATCTTCCTCAACCAAGACTAACTCCTTTTTTATTAAAAACGCGGCGGTAATATTACATTTTCTTCATTTGCATTCGATGCCGAAGTGATGAAACGGAGATCGCGGTGACCTTGTTCCACCGTCTCTGTTTTGTTCACTTGACAAACGTACTTTGGAGGAATGAAAAGGGAGATTAAGTGAAATGAAATATGCTGCGTGTGCGAGCTACACCCTGAATGTACAGAGACGGGTGTATTAAGGGAGAGTTTATTGGCTGTGTGGAGGTCTGTGGCAGGACGGGGGGGGGACGGGGTTCTACCTACATTATAAACATTCAGTCAGGTGAAAAGACCTTTTCCGAGTTCTGGAGCTGTCCGCGGTGCTGAAACCGGCCTGAGCTCAGTTTGTTTAGTTTGTACTAAAGAAACTAAATTTAGCTGCTCGCTTAGCGGACAGAGACCTGGGCAGGGGGGGGGGGGGGGGGGGGGCAGGATAGTGAACGAGGAGTTGCTCTAAAACAGACCAAAGAGAGAACAGCATGTGTTTTGAGAAGGTGTCCCTGAGAGGTCCTTTTTGCACAGCAGTATTAAGGACAGGGGAGGTTCTTTAGTTAATACAACTAAATGTTTGGCCTTTCAGTGATAAGTCAGTGAAGAAGACTTCACTCCAACTCAGATCTCGCGTCACCAGGAACTGCCTCCAGCTTGCAAAAAAATGATAAAAAGCTAATTTAATGAATGGTTGATCCGGTGGTTTTCAGTAACAATTGATCAGAGCATAATTAGGAATTAGAAGTAATTATAGCAGTCGCGTTCTATGAAGGCCTGCTTCAAGGCACTTTTCACTTCAAAGCATTTCACAACTTTCCCCTGATTAAAGAGAATCACTATCACAATCCAAAAGACATTTCACTAATGTGAAAAGCTTTGCATCAACTTCTTGTTATTTTACGACCCAGCAGGCATCAATTAGAGGGCTGGTGATCACTAACAGCACGAGAGCGAGAGAAGAACACGCGCAGGTTTATTACCGTTTGTACATATTGTGAAGCACTCGCGGCTTGTTGGGCTTTTAGTTTTAGTTTAAAGTGGAAAAGAAGAAACGGTGGCGGATGGAGAGACGAAAACTGAGGCTTTCTTTTATGTCCGCGTTGCTTCCAACGTGCCGCCGCGTGGAGCTCACGGAGATCAGAGTGCAGCTGCACATCACAGAGCTCGACGCCGCGGCAAACATCAGAGCGCCGCCCCCCCCCCCCGCGGTGACCGCCGGCCTTAAAGTAGGAGGCGGACCCTCTCGCCTCCACCCGAGTCCCTCTCAGCTGCTGCTTCAGGCAAACAATGCAGCCTTGTGCTGCAGGATGGCGCCGATGAAAAGGGTCAGAAAGGCCTCACGAGATACTTTACTACGCTGACACATCTCAGAGAAAGCTGCTCCTGCACTTCACCAAGGAGATGCTGATGCTTTCTCAGTAGTTTGCGTGACGGAGTGTTTCCACATCGATTACGTTGCTTTTGTCAGAGCGTGACGTTGGTAAAACAACGTGACACAATAACACAAATGGCGCCTTTGTGTTTTCCTTTTTAGCTGAACATAGAAAATACAAACTGCAAATCTAAATCTGTAATTACTTTATTTCCAGTTAGTCGGCTCCTGATATTAATATTGAGTGTCCCTCGCTGCATTGTCTCTGGATGCGTTCTTCCCTTTGTCCTCCCGCAGCGAACGGCAGCGAGCTGCTGATCGGCAGCGTGCGCTACGAGGACACCGGCGCCTACACCTGCATCGCCAAGAACGAGGCGGGCGTGGACGAGGACATCTCCTCGCTGTTCGTCGAAGACTCGGCCAAGAAGACGCGTGAGTCGCTTTTAAAGTCAACTCGGCCAAAGACAAATCCAGAAAGGAGCCGTCTCAGTCCACCTTTAGCGGGACGAGAGGACGCTGCCTCCATGAGAAGTGACATCAGAGTGACGTCATTCTCACATTATTAAAATACTCTCCTCCTTATCGGCTTGATTACATCCTAACTACCGGATTTGAGGAGTCACGCAGCACTAGTTTCTCATTTCATCCCATAATTCATAGCGGGGGACATGCACCCAAATCCCATTTTGACTTGATATTTCCTGGGTTTCACTGGGTTGCATCACTGTGAGCAGGCGCAGCTTTACCATCGCCGCCTAGAAAGAGCAGACGGGGGCCACGGGAAGACTGAATCGACTGAATGGTAGTCAGACGGGAATTGTACGAGAGAAATGTTTGTTTCCTTCCACAAGGTAATTCCATGTTCTCACTCTCCCCCCTCCTCCCCCCACCCCCCTCCTCCTCCCCTCTCCCTCTCTGCGGCTTGCTGGCTGAATCTGCAGTTGCAAACATCCTGTGGAGAGAAGAAGGAATACATTACACTCCCTCAAAAGGCCTTTGTGCTCCCCTGGAGGAGGGAACGGGGGAGGGGGGACGAGGGGGGACGAGGGGAGGGGGGGGGCAGTTCTTTGTGTCTCTTGGAGCCTGAAGCTCGATACGCACCCTTTCCAAATTGTTTGCCTACGATCCAAAAGGATCACCAAGTCGTTTCTCTCTGCAGCCAAACCGTCACTCTGCGGCGAGGTTTGATCCTCTCCGTCCCGTCTGCACACGGGAGACATTTCTACCACATGGTCAAGGACATTCAGAGGGACATACATGTTGCATGTTGCATGTGCGGCGTCACGCAGCCAGAAGCAGACAGAGGGCTTTAGAATGCGACCACAACGTTGTGTGTTATAAGAGCTAAATCTGTCTTAACAGGCCGACAAATCAGTCCTCGTCTCGGTTCTTCTTCACGCCGCCTCCATGTCTCCGTGTCTCCATGTCTCCACGGACGTGATGAGTCCTCTGATCCTCGCCGAGTCTTCATTCCCTCTTAGAGGACGCTTCTTTGATTCCACGTCTCGTGCAGCGGTGTGTTGTGGACATGTTGCCCACGGGGTGGGGGAGGTGGGGGGGGCTTGTAACGGCTGGCAGCCCGTCCCTGCTAACGCGCTAACAGGATCCTCGCCGGGGGGATTGGGTTGTCCGTCATGTGTCAGATGAGACGGGAGCGTGTGTGTTTCTGCCCGTGTATCAACACGTGTCTGCCTTTGTCCCCCCCCCCCCCCCCCCCCCCCCCCCAGGCCTGAGTGTGGGGAACATGTTCTACGTGTTCTCCGATGAGGGCGTGACGGCGCTGCAGCCCGGCGAGTGCGAGATACGCAGACACATGAAGCGCAGCGAGAGGATCGTGGCCACCTACGTGAGTTCTGCTTTCAACGTGACGGTCCCAGAGAGGACGGGGGGGGCGGCGGGGCTCATCGGGTCTCTTTTATAACGTCTGACACGCCCGATAGAAGTAAACGCTACACATATAAAGACCTCCTGCCCCAAGATGAAGGAAGAGGAGGAACTTTCTTTTATTTCTTTGATGAAGGCCGCCCCCCCCCCACTCTCCCCCCCTGCTGTCGATGTGTGTGTGGCCTCTGTGACCACTAGTCAGCCTGCGGTAGACTGTGGAGTCCATAGCGTGGCCCCCCGAGGCTCTTAATCCCCCGGAGGGTCCCGCTCACGGAGCCTCGTCCCGCTTTGCGATCCGTTTGGGTTCAGAACCCCTGTGATCGTATCCAAGATCAATACCAAGTCAATGAGCCGCGGCCCCCGTCCTGCTGACAACAGCACTTTCTCCACTTTGGGGAGGGGGGAGCTCCTGAATCATGACCTGTGTGTGTGTGTGTGTGTGTGTGTGTGTGTGTGTGTGTGTGTGTGTGTGTGTGTGTGTCTTTCAGTTTATGAATTTCTAACTAAGGAAACTTTCTTTGTTTTTAGTAGCATCAATAATTTAAGTAATGTTGGAATAAATCATGCTGCGTTAAAGACATTGATATGTATTCAAATTAAATATGATCCTTTTAATTTAATTATCGTGTTTAACTTGTTTTATTCTGTTTGTTATTATTCTACTTTGTTCTTTTTAAATCCTATTTATGGTTCTCTTTTTATTGGTGTTTCTTTTCCATCCCGTTGAACTGTATTTTATATATTCCAACTAACTAAGTTCAATGAAAATAAATAAATAAATATGTTTATATAGAATATAAACAGATCAATAAATGCAGTAAATGATCCTTCCCCCTAAAATAGGAAGAATAGGCTTAATTAGGAGCTCGCTGCTCAATGACCAGTTTTTTATTAAAACACCAACTGTTGTCTCACACGCGTGTAACATACAAACTGAAATATGAATGAGTGAATCGATGTGATTGAATCAAATCCAAATGAAGGCAAATAACAATTAGGCGGCTTGGATGATTGGAGATGCTCGCGGTGACCAGCCGCCGCCTCCTTCCCATGATGCTCTCTGCTCTTGTCTGCTTCTCCGCCAGGAGGAGATGTGTCCCAAAGGCGAGGGCGTGTCCCCTCAGCGCTGCGTGTGGTCCTCGGCCGTCAACGTCAGGGACAAGTACGTCTACGCCAGCCAGCCGCTGCAGAGCCGCCTGCTGGTCGTCGACATTCAGGCGCAGAAGGTGGTGCAGGTGGGTGGAGCCTCTCCGGCCTCAGCGCAAACAAAACCCACGTCACATCCGCTCAATTTACATGCACGCAGCTTGTGTTCGGCCACGTGCGAAGGGGGAATAAATCAAACGCACCTCAAGCGCTGAAAAACAGCACGGCGCCCAGGTGGGGCCTCGCCATTCGTCTTCCCCCGTAACGGCTGTTTAGAGGCTGA